AAGCTTTACTCTTCTGTGCTGAGACTTGATTAAGGGTTGATTTAATGCTCTCCAAACAATGAGCTGCTGTTTATTTCCAATTAGTGTGATGGATGCAGACCATTAAAACACACAACCCTCCTCTTGTTTGTTCCACTCTTCCTACTCACATTTTCTTTTCCTTAAACAGTTTTGTTGGGTGGCACTTGCATGGTAACAGCACACTTTGATGTGACTGTTGCCATGGTAGAGTATTTTTACTGATTCTATCTCACCAATATCACTTATTAATTGGATGTTTATTATTTTGAGGGTTGAACTTGGCTAACATTTTTTTAAGCTTAAATCATTTTTTTTCACAGAAGTTTATTTTTTTATACCACTGGCAGAAAAAAAACACATCATTTTCTCTTCTTTTTTTTTAAATAAAAAAAAAGTACTTTAATGTTATCTCTGTGTCTTATGGAAGTTTTAATTTTATGAGTTATATTTTTGGTTGTGGGGCTGATTAAATAAAGTATTAATCCCAATCTGATAGCAACAATGGAAATTCAGATCACACCGTTGGTTGGTTCTCAAACCATCTCTCAGGTCAGAGGCTATGTGTTTGACAAAATGGTACTTAATCTAGCTACCTAACCAATGGTGTGCCACAAGGCTCAGTTTTAGGTCCCACTCTTTTTACAATTGATATAAATAATGTAGATCAAAACATTCCTGACGCATCCTTGCATCTCTATGCCGATGACACTGTTGTTTATTGCCTAGCTAACACAGTTGCCAAGGTTTTCCAGCTTCTACAGTCTGCATTTGACATCATTCAGTCAGACATTCCATCTCAACCTGGTGCTATATGCTGACAAAACCAAAGGGATGTTGTTTTACAACAGAAAGTTGGTGCCAGCAACTCTTCCTCCTATCTCATCCATGCAATGGTGTTTCTGTTGAGTTTGTACATTCTTACAAATACTTGGGAATTTTGGTTGATGCACATCTCTCTTTTAAACCACATATCAAAAGGTTGATAAAGAAACTGAAATTTAAACTGGTTTTCTTTTTCAGAAATAGCTCTTGCTTAACCCTGAATGCCAGAAAACGCCTTGTAACCGCTACTTTCTTACTAGCCATTGACTATGGTGACATTATTTACATGAATGCCCCTGCCAGCTCCTTGCAGAAGTTGGATGCTGTCTACCATGGCACTCGGTTCATAACTGGTTGTAACTACCGTACCCATCACTACACTCTGGTCAGTTAGTCAGTTGGTCATCATTATCTACATGTAGGCTCTCACACTGGTACACCTTCATCTATAAATCACTTCTTGGTCTGCTTCTTATATCTCCTTCCACTTGTCACACCATCAGTGCAGTTACAGCATGCACTCTCATGTCATCATTACATGCAGCAGTGCGGCCTGAACTTGGCAAAAAGGCCTTTTCCTACTCATCTCCAGCAATCTGGAACATCTTGCAACAGGAACTGAAATTGTCCTCCTTGATTTCTTTGAGGGGGTTTAAACATTTGATTATGTCAATAGAAAAATCAAAGCACATATATTCTTGTTTTTAGTATCTTACCTTGTTTTATGGCACCCTGATGTATTGTTTTATAACACTACTTTTCTTTTTAACTGCTTTTTTACTGTAGTTTATTGTTATTGTTGTCTGTACTTTATATGTGTACATATAAGCTTATGCATTTCCCCACCATGCAATTAGGATGCAGCAGGTTCCTTTAGATGTATGGGTATACACTAGAGTCAGGTTTTTTCCCTTCAGTTCATTCAGTTTATTCAGTTTATTCACACACACACATTTTACGTTGAAAGATTTATTGAGGTGAATTGTCTCAACTCTGTGACCTGTACCAAATATAATAAATCTGGGTGACCCATGCTATCAGTTCAGCAAACATTTACTTTGACACAGCTCTGTTAAAATCGGAAGCGCTCAAAGCTTCATGTTTGGGCATCTTTAATGCACGTGTGATCTGCGACTTAAGTTAGCTCCTATCCTCTTCATGCTAGGTTTCAATAAATTCAGATGATTTCCCATGTCATTAAATACTAAATCTGACTTGCTAATGTGCTCCTCTATGAAGATGAGATGAATGCACAGTTGCACACACATTTTCTTATACCCAGACATACAGAGGCAGACAGACAGCACTTGGCTCATGTTTAATTAAGCAATCCGTCTGTGTAAGACAGTGATAGGTTTAGCACAGTGTAATCACAACATGCATGTTTGTCAGGGAACTTCTTTCTCTGTTCAGTTTCCTGTGGTCCTATAGGGGGCAGTACATAGAGGTGGCATCTTGTGTCCTGTGCCAGCATGACCAAGACATTCTTTTGGATTATTTTTTTCACTTTTTATCTCACATTCTTCCTCCTTTCACCCCCTTTACTTGATCCTCGTGGCCCCTTTTTTTAATCTTCATGCACACTCACTCCATCTCAATTCTGTCTCTTTCTTCCATCTGAGATTAAAGCTGCCCCATGGTTCTTTTCACTTCTCCTGAAGCAGCCCAAATGAGGTGGCTTATCAGATGTTTCCCTCTCCTCCTGACAGATAGACATGATGCCCATAAACAACGCACACAGGCAGGTCAACGCAGCGGTTTACCTGTTTCTTTGTGCACATGTATGCATCATATGAATGTATGCAAAGATGGATAATAAGGGGAACAGCCTTACAGACATGGATATGATGTGCCTGAAGGCATAGCAGCTCTGGTGGGAAATCCAAGGGCCTGGCATTGTGGTATGAGATGCCTGACGTCAGGTCCCCAAGGGTGGTGACTTGACTGTGATGTTTGGTTATTGGACGCAGCACAGCAATGTCTTTTGGTCTGCTCTGTAGGGGGCCGTGAGGGAGGGCACGCACACGACAGCTTTTATTAAACAGTAATCCCACCAGCTGTTGTTCCCTCCTCCCCTTAATCTTTTTTTTTTTAGCTCATTTTCTTTAAATCAGCCATCTTTTTTTTTGTGCACTGGTCATCAAACATGGTGTTAAAACACATTTTAAACTGCTTCAGATTTACATGATGACATTTGTTTACTAGAAAAGGGTTTGCTGTCAGGAATTGTTTTATTAAGCATGAAAAATCAACCCCCCCCCCAAAAACCCCCCCCCCCAAAAAAACATCACTTTCGAGCATAAACCTATAATCCAATATGTCAGTTTAAACCACATCTCCAAAATTACTATATTGCTAGCTTTTTGTTTTATCAAACATCAGTGCAGTTCCTGTGTTAGAATAAAGTTGTCAGAGACAACAAATTTGACTATTTTGTGAATGATAAAAATGTTTAAGAAATTTAAACACCTAGAAGAAAAAAATAAAAAAAATGTCCCAATGCTGTTTTGATTTAACGTTGCTCTATACAATCATCTTTAAATTATTTTTGAATAAAACAAACGCTAGTTCAAAAACCTTAAACAAGGTGGTTACAATATTGGCTTTCTAATTTTGATCATCAACCTCTGCCATAAGCAGGTCTTTAAGCTGCCAAAGAGTTGAGGCAACTTTAACACCTGATTATTATGTGGTTGGAGCAAATAATAATAAAATAAAATAAAATAAAGAGCTGGTTCTTTGTTAGGCACAGGATTTAAGCTTTAGCAAACCTTTAGATCATTTAAGTCCAGTAATGATGTTATGGTGCGCTTTGGTTTGACCATGTGCTAGACAGTTCCTCTTGTCCCAAGCTGCTGCTTAAAGAACTTGTTTTTTCCCCAAACGTGCCTTTTTGCATGTTACTAATCCCCTGTTCTTCTGAGGGTCACATTTGTAGCTTGATCTTCTTACCACTATACTTTCACTTTAGCCATCAGTCAGATGATGAGCAGCGCATATACCGTTAAATCTGTGCCTAGCTTCTCCGTAAAGTAACCTGACACAAAGAAAAATGCAAAGTTAGTTTTAGTCTGCTTTTGGTGTTTTGCTATATCTTCACTGTAGCGCTCTGTGGATGGCTCCGTCTTCCTCTGTTACAAAGTTTGGTTGGTTCTAAATTGTTGCAGTGGTTGCACCAGTCCAACGAGCCACAACAAACAGTCCCACCAGCAGCACACCCACAAAATAGTGGACCAACCAGTTTGCTGGTGATAAGATGGTTTCTGGGGCCCCGCCCTCTTCCCTATCAACTCTTCTGAGGCAGCCATAGTCAAATTTGGTTCAAAACACCAAAGCTCATGTTTAATAATCCAGGTAATAAAAATCCAGATTCAGACTGATGAAGTCCTTTGGGTGACGGACGAAACGTCTCAACAATAAAAAAAATTCAAAATCGTCCAGATGACCTGACAAAACTTTGTTGGATTTTTTTTACCAGGATTATTGAGCATGAACTTTGATGTTCTTTATCTAAGCTTAACTGATCTTTATGTAAAGACAAAGTGTTCCTTAGACTTGGAGATTTTTTGTGTCTAGATCTTATGAACAGTTCGTCACAGGTAGACCCAAGTCAAGTTCTAAACCCGTCTAAAGGACAATTCAGAACATCACATAAAAATTTACAAAGTAAGCAAAAACAGTCGCAGCTTCAATACTTTCAGAAGTGACTCAGTATGTCGGTGCGTGTTATGCTGGGATACCCTCGGGGCAGCCAGTATTCAATAGCGATGTGTGTCTGTGCTGTCTGCGTTCAACCAAACCCTTTAATGCACCGTCAGAATTAATGAACTGGAGAGCAAAGGATAAAAGTGCAGCTGTACACTGGCACCTGCACTCCCCTCACTCACAATGCAAGCACACATCAGCTCTCTACCTGCAGCTGGCGACTGATTGAGCTGTTCCCTACCCAGGAGACCCACTCAATGAGGGACACGTGCGTCCCCCCCTCACTAATTACCCCCACCTTGCCAAACACCAGCTTGGCAAGTGTTCACCTTTAGCTCCTTTACTCCTTAACAAGAAGGTAGATGCTGCCGTTTCATTTGTCACCATATATCAACTTACCCTTCTGTATTCCTTCTGCCTCCCTCCCATCCTCTTCCTTGTCTGTCACCCAGGACGTGCTGTCCCACTCCAGCTCTCTCCCTGAGGCCTCTGCCCTCTCCCATGGGTACTATGTGGAGGAAGGGCCTGGGCTTTGTCTTCCTGTCTAGACCCTGACATCAACCGCAGGGGTAGAGAACTTAATGATGGGTTCAGCAAATGTGCTTACTGACTCAAACTCGTGTGTGCGTGTGCATACGTGCTAACGCACACACAGATATGCACACATTCTTTATTGTTTTTGCCTTTCTTTCATCTTTCTGTCTCCTTTTCTTTTGGTGACAGGAATGACAAGATTGCAGTCTGTTCACCGTATCATTATCATGTCCCCCCACTGTATTTTCACTGTGGAGCGGATAATTAAAGATTATTTTAAGCTAATTGCCATACATTTAGATCTCGTACTAAAACCAATAAACTGTTTTATCCACTCTTTAGCTGTCTAAATAATACAGCTTAGTAGTTTTTGACATAAATGCTAGGATTTTTTTTAACCAACTTCTTAGTTATTTGCAGAAATTGAGTATTCATGTTTATTTTTCAAATATTTAAATGTCCATATAGAGGCTTTAAATGATAATTACAAGAACATGGTCTCATTAACGTCTATACTGTGTTTACATTTCAACACCATCATTAAGGTTTAATTTCTTAATTATGAAAGGTAAACAAAGCAACCTTATAATTATAAATAATACACACTATTCTAATCCTCCTATGTTTGTTTGTGGTGTTTAAAACAATTAGATTAGAAAAATAATCAATTCAACAAATAAAACTAGTTGGACTGAATTACATTTATGTTTTTAAACCAACACAATTATGTTCAATGCTTAATTCAAACCTGAAATGTTTGAGATGCAATTAAAATTGTTCCACCTCAATATAATCTGCAGCAGTTAGATCACTCTGCTACAAGTTTCCATTTAAAGTTACAACATTACTATAAATGACTGTAAATCAGTCCAACCTTGTTCGTTCTTCCCCACACAAAGGGGGCACACACAGTGCTTTTAAACCAGTTCTACAAAGGATTTGGCAATGCTATTCTCCTTCACCCAGGCTCATGCTTTCCTTCTCTGACACTTTGTCATGCACACACACACACTGCTGTTCTCATAATCAGGGTCTCTCACAGGGGCACTTCCACATAAGGGAATGGGATGGACCACTGATCCTTCAGATGATCATTTGTCCATCTGATCCATGGTTGCTCTTTGTGGAAGAGACAGTGCTGCAGAACAGGAAATATTAGAAATCTCTATTTGAATGTAAATCCATCCCTTAAAGCCCTAGCTCACCAAAACTTTGTGAAGTCTGACATAATAAAAGTGCATACCCCTTTAAGTTTAGAAATGTCTTCCTAAAATTGACGTTTTACTGTTAACACCAATAAGATATTTGGCATCCCAGATAAATGCTATAGTTGGACTGGTTGTTTTAATTTTTTAAGGTATATTCTTACTGCTTTTTATTTCTCAGTGTTACCCTTAGTGTTAAGCACTTTGATAACAGTCTATCTGTTTTAAATTGTGCTCTATAAATAAATATGACTTGACTTGACTTGACTTGGTCCAGGGAAGGGATAGTTGTTGCCATTTTCTCCAGTCTCTGCTTGTGTGTGTGTTCAGTCAGCCAAAGGGCAGAGCAAGTGGTAATACAAATGAACTGAATGAAGGACTTAGTCAATACATGTACTTTAAATGTCTGGGGAGAGTTGTAGTTCAGGAAAGGTTCATGCATTTAGTGTCTTTCTGCTCTTATTTTTAGTTTTCATATTGCTCCCCTTATTTATAAGTTATGTTCTGTTCTTTATCATTGTCATACCAGCTTTGAAGTCAAGGTCACAAATCAAGGTCAACGTTAAATCAGGTCTTTGCTTGTCCCACCCATAAC